ATGGACATGTTGCTTATTGTTTCCATGTCCTAGAAGATAAATGTCCCTTTTATTTATTTATTTATTTCTTTTAGGGACACAAGTGTATCAGATAAAATGAACCCATTTGCAGAACAAGAGGCTTGGGAGGAGCATCAAATTGGTAAAAATTTCTTGTTAAAACTTCTAATCACTCAATGTAGCTCTTTTGGTTTCTAGTACACGGTGATTTTGACTCATCAACTTGCAGGAAAGGCAACATTAAAATTTGGGTCGAAAAACAAAAGGCCAACCTCCGATGACTATCAGTAAGTTTAAATTTCAAAAATTGTATGTGCTCGAAAAAGAAAAGAATTGGATGATTGTTATTAAGTTCGTCTAGTATCATACTTTTACTTCTTTTCCATTGTCTATTGTTATCTTGTTTCTTTTTTTCATCCATATATATTCAATTTCTTAATTTTTCCTTTTTTTTCCCTCTCATATTGATAAAATACTTATATTTTTTGAGAAGTGAACAAAATTTATTCACAAGGCATTCAGAGAGGTGCCTCCTGTGTTGACGAAAGAATTTTGATTAACTTGTGTCATATATTTACTCATGTGTAAGCATAGATATAATGAGCATCTTATGATTTTTTCTTTAGGTTTGTGTTTGAGGACCAGATAGAGTTTATCAAGGCATCAGTGATGGATGGCGACAATGTATGCCCATGCGATCTATTTGACTTTGGATGGATGCTTATGTAGTACTGTACTGAAAAGCTCTCATTTCATTCTCTTAATTCTTTTGCAGTTTGAAGATGTCTTGCCCACCGAATCACCTGACGGTTCCAGGGTGAAATCAGCATTGGAAAAACTTAAGGTCCATCCTTCACATTTTAATTCTGTTTATTGTGGTGTTGTACATTTTATATTTTTCTCATAATTTTTTTGGTAATGGAAAGAAAACTGCTCATCATAAATATTAAGGTGGAGAATAAATAGAAGCTTTTGAAAGGAAATCCTACCCTTAGATTACGCCTGGCTGTGTTTGGGACTATTAACTGTGTATATAAGTTGGCTTTACACTCCCCATCAGAGTGATCGGTTTAAAATCCTTGATATTTGTATCCCCCTCAATCTTGGGAATAAACACTAGGAACATGGAATTTAAGCTTTTCATGAAAGATCCCAAATCATAAAATTCTTTGAATAGTGCAATTAAATCATCTTTTAAAACAACCCATAATTTCTAAAGAAATCCCATATTGAAACTCTCTCTTTTTTTTTTTTAAATAAAAAGTGTGAAGTGTATTACTATAAGCACTAAAATGGGGTGCAACCCATTTACAAAAGATTTACAATGCAGTCATCATGAGACAAACAAAGCAAAAAAGTCCATATTGAAACTATCTTGACTCAAGCCTTGTCACTCTTACATCTCATATGGCCTTCCAAGATCTCCTCCTCTGATAACTCTTGTTCTAAGAGCATGAATCCTGCTCCCTTAGCTTGCTAAACTCTAGCCATCAAGGTTTTGCCTCTAGGAAGCTTCTTCACTGTACAATTCTTTGAAAAGGGATGACCCCTTCCTTTAAAGCATCATTACCCTTCACCACTCTACCATTAATTTTCAGTTCTTCCATATAATTGAGTCTTATATGATGATTAGCCATTCTACTGTTAGTTTCCAGTTCTTCCATATAATTGAACTTAGTATTCAAGAGAGTTATGTTTCGGGACTTATTTACTGTGGGTTCCCTTAGCATCCTTTTATAGACAGTTTCTCATTTTCCTCTGAAAAACAAGCTGCAGTATTTATGCTTTAGGTTCTTATAATTGGTAGTACTGCCTTCTATTGACATTTTTAAACATAAATCAAACTAGTAGATAGAAATAGTCTCATAATTTATAGCTTAGATTCATATAAAAAGACTGCTCAGGGTTATAAAGTGATAGAGAGTTAAGGAAAACTTTTATATTCTTAGTTGTCCATTGATTTTTATGTGCATAATAACTCACAATGTTGTATGTGACAAAATTCTTCTCTTTTTCATGTTACTTGTTCAGGAGGAGAGAAAAACGTTACCAATCTACCCATACCGAGATGAGCTTCTTCAAGCTGTTGAAGATCATCAGGTCTTTGTAATTTTCTGCTTATTTTCACCATTGAGGGGCATTCCTCCATGCTTACATATGCATGAATTTGTATTCTGTTGCCTACAGTATTTTCATATTGCACATCTTGACACTGCAAAGCATGGTAAGATTTCCAGACGTGGCTAGGAATTGGACATCCATTTTGTATGTCAGTTTGATTGAACTAGGATAAAATGAATATAAAGGGAAAGTTATTACCTCTTGTCATACATGCTATTGGAGATTTTGCGGGAAGAGTTGTGTAGGATAACTGTTTGGGTTGGTCATGCTGTTTTCTCTCCATTATGCCTTTCTTTTCGAAAAAAAGAACCTTGCGACCCCAAAGGATAAGGAAGTAAGAAGAAAGGATAAATAAGGGATGGATAAATAACTAACTCATAAGATGTATTATGATATTAATTTCTTTTGCTTCCAAATATTTTATATGGTTTCTATGTGAGCGTCATAGTGCAACCTGACCTCAATCTAAATTTTTCTCTCTTCTTCATTCTGTACTTCAGTTTGAAGTTTACACTTTTTTGTCAGCTTTGCTAAGTATTTTTGCATCTAACTTTCAAGAGGTTATGCTTGTGGGCAATATGGCTGCACTTAAGTTGATGTAGCATAGCTAATTTCAATGCTGTTATCATTTATTTGTTCAAGGTAGGGGCTGTTTTTCTGTGATCCTGATTCATTCTTCAACAGGTTCTTGTTATTGTAGGAGAAACTGGTTCTGGGAAGACCACACAGATACCCCAATATCTTCATGAAGCTGGTTACACAAAGCGTGGAAAGGTATAAGCCATGTTTTTATCTAAAAATAGAAAGGAGAGATATCTACAAGCTTTTCTTTTTATAGAAGAAGAAATGTTATTAGAAAGAGGGAATAAACTAAAAGATAAGAGAAGATGAGCTATCCTTCAACGAAACGAAAAAAAGTACTTAGAAGAATATAAGCAAAAAGGTGAATCAATACAAAATGGCATGAGTCTCTTTGTAGTGTGGTTAAAAAGGTTCCCCCTATAGAAATCCCGTAAGAGAAAGAGAAAACACCATCTTACCACAAAGGCCGTTGATCAATTGAGATTATTGGTTAAACAATCTAAAGGGTAGTGGGCCCCCTGTTTAAATAACCTAAATGAATCCATGATTCTAACAATTGAAGATCAGTCGGACAGGCTGACTTGATCCTGTTTCTCCTAAGCTAATTTAATAAGAAAACTAGATTACCGGCAAGCAAGTGGAGTTTTATGTTTGTTATCAGCCTTGATGTAAACATGAATTAACATGTGCTAGATAAGCAATAAATAGTGTAGGAACAAATGAAGGAAACAGAAAATAGTGGTAGTGAGTTATGTGATTTGTTGTTTTTGTCCTCACAGGTTGGATGTACACAGCCACGAAGAGTTGCTGCCATGAGTGTCGCTGCCCGAGTTTCTCAAGAAATGGGTGTCAAACTTGGGCATGAGGTCATGGTGTTAAAACTTGTTTTTTATGATGTCATTTGTTCTTTCTCTGTCTGTCACTTCTTTTTACCCATTTGCACTTACATATGTGTCTACACATACACATGCTCAGAGGTATTGTACTTTTATGTTAATTAGCTAAAGAAAGATTAAAAAGTTATTAGATATTCTTACTTTTCACTCAAAGAAAAAGGAAGATTTTTATTGTTTGATCATTCATGGTTTGTCTTGTGTTAGAATAAATCGTATAGCAAAAAAAAAAAAAAAGAAAATTCTTAGAATTTGTTATGAAAGGTGATTTTGATTTAGACAATTAGGTACTGTAGCTAGCTTTTCTACCAATAATAATTTATCCACTTATTTTTATGAATATAAACTATCATCTTGTTTGCCATTTCCTTATTAATTGTTTGATAAACTTTTTTTTGTTTACATTAGCTTGGGTTATTTGATATTTTTGTATCTGGACATTATGAATTATTAATTGTTAAGCTGATTTGATTATTTAAAAAAAAGTTCAGCTGATTTGGTGTGTGTATCTGTCATTTACAGGTTGGTTACTCTATTCGTTTTGAAGATTGCACTTCAGAAAAGACTGTTTTGAAATACATGACTGATGGAATGTTGTTGCGTGAGTTGCTTGGCGAACCTGATCTAGCTAGCTACAGGTTAGCTACCTCACAACCTCATTAATAATTTTGTTAAATGAATTGATCTTATTAATTAATTGCTTAATGATCTTTTTCAGTGTGATAATGGTGGATGAGGCGCATGAAAGAACTTTATCAACTGACATTCTGTTTGGGTTAGTGAAGGCAAGTGCATTCCTTCTAACTTGTACGTTGCCAACAGTTGTATTTATTAGATCTCTGACTCTTCATATTTCTGTTTGACAGGACATAACCCGGTTTCGGCCCGATCTCAAATTGCTTATCTCAAGTGCAACACTTGACGCAGAGAAATTCAGTGACTATTTTGATTCTGCTCCAATTTTCAAAATTCCAGGGAGAAGATTTCCTGTTGATATCCATTATACCAAGGCACCTGAAGCTGATTACTTAGATG